TCCCGGTGGGCTTTGCAGTGCTGTCACGCTCTCTGTAGCAGTCACCGTCTCAGAAGAAGGCAATGTGCCACAACCGCCATGAAGCCTTCCTACCTCAGGCACTCCACTAAAACAACTCTCTTTTGTTTTTCCCAGTCTGCATCCCCTCCCTCCTCCTGACTGTTCCCCGAGTAGAAAGAATAATGCATCATCTTAGGGGGCCCATAGTGGCCTACTTTAAAAGCCTGGGAGGAACACCGGTGGACACTGGCCTGCTAATGAATGAATGAATGAGCCTGACGTGTAAAATCAGAAAAGATTATAGACTGAGGGGCAGGTCTCTGAAAAGGTCCTGCCAAATCAGCTGTTCAGATAAGCCCTGTTGCCTCCCCAGAATAATAATTCCTCCACACGAGACTGAGTAAACAAACAGCGTGAGGAAAAGTTAGCATCTTGTTTCTTTCCTGGAGACAAACAAAAAAAAAAAAAAAAAGCACTTGCACGACAAGAAGATCAGATCATATGATCAAATCTTGTTTTTCCCTCCCCAGTTGCATGTTGACATCTCGACAAGGAGGGGACTGTTGGGTATACACAGCCTACGAGCAATAAATAAACAAAGGGGGCCAGGCCTTGAAAGCCATACACCTGTGACCAGTGGAAAAGCAGCAGGCGCAGCAGTGTTCATTAAAGAAGCTGGTCCTGACAGTGAGGCCTTTAAGAGGCCATCAGGAGCGACAACTCAGCAGCTACCTTGGGACTGGAGAAGGGAAGGCATCAAGGTGAGCAATGCAATTTCAGCTTGAATAATGGAGCACTTTCCTGAGGCATGACATTCATGTATTTCTCAGGCAGTTTTGCCACACAGCCCAACAGTACCTGTGAGCTATTCAAGGGACCCCAGGAAAAACCAGTTCACAGTGTTTACAGGTTCACAATTACTCTGTGCCTGGCTGCTGGTCTGCAGATAATCTTGCTCAAAGTGACTCATGAATTAAAAATAGCACCAAATATATCAAATCTAATGATCTGGAAATTTTGATTGTGGATGCTGTACACTTCAAACATTTACACACAGCAAACTGCAGACTTCGCTTTTTCTCTGAAATAATTTTTGGAAATAATTTCATCAAGGCAAATTATTCTCACTTTTCTGTTGGATTCACCAGCCAGATTCCATTTTCACGGAGTTGCTGATGTAAACTGGTAATAACAGAGGATTAATTTACAAGGAGGCAAAATCCCCTAGTGAGACTTGTGGCCCAGAACAATAATGAGCACATAGTAAACAGAAATTTGCCGTAAGCCAAAAGAGAATGCAGGGGCACCTAATCTACACACCGAAACACACAAAGCACACTGATGCATGCATAAGCACAACCACGCCCACACACACGCGGCAAAAATGACGGCAAAGTATTTTCCCCAGGCCTTTGTAACAACATATGTTTGCAGGTAATTAAAGGAAGATCCCAAGCGGGTATCATGTCATATTGAAATACAATGCACAGAGCAAATTACCTTTCTGTGGTTATTATACAAAGCCGGGGGCACGAGGTCAGAATAAATGTGAAGTGTTCGTGTCTGAAGTCGTGCTGTGGTTTTGACCTCTAATTAGAAGGCTGAGGTCAAAGCACTGTAATATGTGATATAATGTAGTTTGTAATGTGAGTGTGTGTGTCTGTCTTACTGTTGACTGACAGCTTTTATTAATTGTTTGTAATGCCAGTCCATAAGTTAAACTACTGACTAAGCACAAGACTAATTTAAGCACGTAGTGGATTTGTGAGCGCATGCAAGAACTGAGTTTTAAGAGCAGAACTAATTTTGTAATCAATGTTTTTGGTAATTAGATTGGAGGCAGCATTGGGGCTTCCTACGTTTGTTATCATCAAAGCTGTGGGTTCTCAGATATGTCAGTTTTGGTTTGTGTACTTGGTTTGAAAAGTCCAATTGAGAGCAGAGTATCAATTGTATTAAACCTGGAAGTAAAGCGCCGTACTGTTCAACACAGCCTTCTAAGTAATGTTAGACTACTTCCTAGTGTGCTCCACCACCTTTTTCATTTGCCTTTAACTGTGAAAAGGATTTGAGTCTAACAGCCAGTTTGCGCCTCTCATATTCTCAGGTGCTCAGAATCTGTCAAAGCAGCTGGAAGAAACAGTATGATTTCAAACTGAGAAAGAGACCACGTCAGGAATTTTATCTACAAACTTGTTTTTCACTCGTGAATCTGTTCCTGCAGACTTTCAAAGCTTTACCTTTTCAGTGATTACCACTTTAATATGTTTTGTGCTTTTTTTCCCCTGCTACTCTGTATTTCTAATCTGCTTCATTTCAGAGAGAAATATTGTACTTTTTACTACATTTATCTGATTGCTGGGGTTACTTTGTAGATTAAGAAATCTTCATCTTACGAAGTAATTTTTGTCTTGTTACTGAGTCCTAAAAGTCTAATTTTCTTAAAGCATGTGGGACTCTGCCATTGTGGTGAGAGAATTTCAACCTCTTTAATAGAATTCAAATGGTTATATAAAATTTCGAGAACAAGGTGACATTTCCATTGGTTTTAAAGCTGCAATCCCTTATTCTCTCTTCTTTAAACCTGAAAAAATAAATGATTTGATTAGTCACTGCTACTTTATACTTCTACTCCACGACAATTCAGAGGAAATTTATAACTTCAGTTACTGAATCCTTTGCAGTTTCAGATTAATAATAAAAATATAATGTAAAAAATAGATTATGATGTATTATTGTGGGTTAAGATCAGACTTTATTGATCCTGGGGGCTGGGGTGGGGTGTTCCATGAACTACTTAGCAGTATGTAGTGTATATAGCAATTTCACTTTTTTCAGCTGCAACATTTGAGTAATGTATATATTAATGCATCAATAATTACAATCCATTAATATAATATACATTATTCTGACGTGGCCTGTTCTGAGCATAATGAGCCTTTCTACTTTTTGTACTTGGAATATATTTTGTTGCTGATACTTCAGTACTTTTACTGGTGTAACATTTTGATTGCATGACTTTTACTTATAACATAGCATTTCTACACTTTGGCACTACTACTTTTAGCTAAGTAAAAGATCTCAGTACTCCTTCCACCACTGGCCTGTAAGATACACAACGGTTACATAAGACCACACATGCACTGGCTCTCCAGTTAATCTTGATTTGAACATGTGTCCGAGCAGCCTGGGGTTAGAGAAATAATTGAACCATGGTTACATACTGTATGTATCTCTCTTTTGTATCAAGACTGATATATTCCTAATGTTTTAGGACTCTGACACAAAGCGCTACACTTTAGTTGAATTTGAGTAGTCACCAAAATGCTAATCTTTGTGCTCAAATAAAAAAACAACCCCCCCACACAACTGTTTCCTAAAATAAATTATGTACCCTTCCTTTGGCTTCAGTTGCTGTGCTCTGCTGCCCAGAGTCTATACATGTAGGTGCCAGACGCTGCTCAGGATTAGCTGGTGAGTCAAGAAGTGTCCTGCTGCATTGCACCTAACACCCGTTCACCAAATAAGATGCTGGCTTCCACATTAATGCAGGAGAATTAATCCATCCCTCCATCTATCCCTCCATCGACTATATCAACCCATTCCTCCACCTTCAGAGAAGCCCCTGGAGAGTTTTGCTGAGGATACATACCTGAGTTTTACTGTCCTACTCTGTCTGTGGGAGCTTCCTTCCCGTCTGACTGACAGGAGATACTCCTTTGAAGTGGCTCCATCTCACTCACTGATGTGGAGGCCGGAGAATGAGCCTCCCCCTCAAGACCCCATTAAAGCAGAACTCAGGGTCTGCAGGTTTGATATTCATCGCCTGGGCAACCTCTGCCATCAACACATTTTGTGCCACGTGAGAATGATCACAGCTTATTAAAGTGGAAATAATGACTGCTCTACCTCCGGCATGAAATATTTAACAAGGACAAAGGAGATGGCTCAAAGCTGATTCATATCTATGTTGAAAGGAGAGAATGTGGACAATACTGTCTACATAGGAAGTGCAGATGAACCTTGGTTAACGGGAGCTTAGAAGTGACTGTTGGCAGTTGAAATTTGTATCTTAATGGAAGCAGAAAGAAGACGAGTGGCAGAGGTTAGTCTGAGTTCATGTTTATTAGCCATGACAAAGATTTTGGTATAACGGCAAGCAACATCCTGCACGGTACATTACATTTCCCTTTGTTCACCTCGTGGCATTTACAGTACAGACAAAGCAGACTTATGCACTCAGGTTTGAAATATATGTGGTAATTTTCAACCATCACTTCATTTTAATCATTCTCTCGTTCGCAACTGTGCCCAGAACGTATACAGCATCCAATTTCTGAATGTGAAATTATTGATGTACTTTTCCCTCCAGCTTGGGTAAATTAGCTTTTTTGGCCTCTTGGGAAAATCAAGGGAAAGGAGCAGAGTGAAAATGTTCTCCATCAAATGTGATCGAATTGGATTTTACAAGATGAATTGCCAGGACAAGGGTTTATCCCAATTACATTGCCAAGAGGTTTCAGTTCTGCTGCAGCCACTCAGGTCAACAGCAATTAGGGTCAGCTTTGAGTCATCAGGATCCGTCATTGTGAGGAGATGTTTACAGTGTGAGCAGAGAGTAGATAAATGCAGCAAGACAACATTTGAAACAGTAAAAAGTGGTTTGTGGTTTGGTCCAAGAATTCATGAAATTACAGATCTGACAGCCAAAACACGAGCAGAGCAAAACACAGCTGTCTCTTCCATGGCCCACACATCTTTTAATCTCGCAGAGCACAATACAGACTGCAGAGACTGCCTCTGGCTCTTTGTGTGGCCATCCATTTTCCTCATTCGTGTATTTTTTTTCCTTTGATGTAACCTGTATGATTTGCTGATGTGGAAACCCAGCGTGTCTTTCATCTGTCTCTCATCAAGACCACACCTCCACAGACAGTGGCAATATGTCTGTTGACTGGCAAACAGGTGATAAAAAACAGTGAGGTGATATTTAGTCTTACCTTCCCCAGACTGGGGCTCCACAGATACCTCAGGCTGAAAACACAGAGAGCCAAAACAAGGAAGACCAAGGCCAGAGCCAGTGCCACTCGCTGATAGGTGTGGTACTTGGCCTTCTTCTCCTTTACCATCTCAACCTGCAAAAAAACAGAGGTTCAATATAAAAACTCAGTCACTTAACAGAGAATTTTTAGCGAAATATGCTCATCGATATCGTTGTCAACAATTAAAATGATGCCACTTACATGCCAGTATGTATGATTCACAAAATCCGCCTACCAGCACGTGAGCTTTACAGGTGGTGTTACCTTCAGACAGAACCAGACGATCCGTATCCCTCTGTTTCAAGTCTTAATGCTAAGCAAAGCTAACAGACTGCTGGCTGTAGCTGTAGCCACTCAGGGGCAGCAGAAATAAGTTGTGAACACAACATTGACAAATCATTACCCTGTAAGCTGATACGGCGAACCTTTTCATACTTTCAGCTGTTACGGTGCAACATTATTATTCATATGGAGTCGTGTTTCTGGCCACCTGATGAACACTCTCTAAATATTTACTCTCTTTTATCTCTGTATTTGGTTCATACCAACTCCTGAGGGAAATATCTGGCTCTTTACCTGCTAAATGCTTGTTTGTGTTTACTAGCTGCTCTCTAACTGTGTCTGTCTGCTGTTTGGTGCTGAGCAGGTAGTTTCAGGAGGTGCTAGTAGGGTTTTTTATTTTTTTTTTTTAGATTTTTCTTCTCAAAACAGCAGTAGCCAAAAATAAAGAGGAAACCAAAATGGTAAAGTTAGGGGAGTTGAAGGGAGCTGCAGGTTTAGGCCATAATTATCAGGAAGGTGCATCACTTACATTATTATTTTAAAAATATTGATTATAACCACTTTAAGCATATTTAAAAAATGTAAATGTATTCCTTCAATTCATCATTTCCACGTTAAAAGTATATTTCCGTCTTTTCTGTCTTTATCAGAATGACATTTTATTCAAAGTGATGCCATTTCATTATGCAAAACTTATCCACCAGTGAGGCTACTGACAAAAATATAACCATCCTCACACCAAGCGCAGGGAAGAACAGACTGCTACAAGTGGTACAGAAAGGTTACATTTATTAAACTTTTCCTCAAATTAAAACTCTGCCTACTGTAGTCAATTCCCTAAGCTTAAGGCCACAAATTAATAAAGACAGGCTTTTGTTCCACCAAGGCTCCAACAGGGAGAAAATGAAAGCTTCTCATTCATACTGGGCCACTTCTGAAGGTCTCAGAGGACAACAGGCAAGCAGATATGTTAAAAAAAAAAAAAAAAAAAACTGGACCAACTTCATTTAGCAAAATTGGTGTTGCTTATCTTCATGTCTTTTAAAATGATAAAGCAGCTTTAGTTCTCTATTGTGGCAGAGGTTGTTACAGTAGTTAAGCTTCACTAGACTGCACAGACCTTTTACATGCCGACTTCTTTGTATAAGGCAGGAATTATTTTTGAATAATACATTTGTGACCTTTGGACCTTGTATACTGTAAAAATAATAAACCAAAATAGTCTTGAAAAATGTCCTTTTTATTTAAAAAAAAAAAGAAAAGAAAAAAATGCAGTATGTGGGTGGCATGACTGACTGGTGGAATTATGGTTTAGCATTAATGGTGTATAGTTACTGTACACTGGTTTACACTGTGTCCTTTTTAGATATGGATTGAGTGTCTGGTACATTAGCAGCATGACATTGGGGATGAATAGAAGACACATTGTTCAAAATAGCCATCTAGAAAATTGTAACCACGTCTTTGCCATTAATGAAATCTACATTCTCGTCATTCTTCATTTGACATATTAGAGACAGTAGCCACACAAACTTCAGGCACATCAAAGTACTGTACATTCTTCAGGCATGATGAAAAACAGAGCTACAATCAGAGCCAGAAATTCCTTACGTTGTAAATTTCTAAGAGTGGAGAGGAAAAAAAAAAAAGGAAAAAAAGAAACCGGTGGCTGAAATTCTCTGCTCTCCTGTGGCAGGTTGCATAAGCAGTGGAAACTTAACTAGAGGACAAACCTCTCTCTGCCTGCGCTTTGAATATCGAATACTCAGAGGAAGGAGGTGGGATTGAGAGACAGACAGAAATAAAGGCATGGATGGAGACAGAGTGAGCAGCCTGAGTGTGCAGCAGCTGCCAACCAGTGTTTAAAGGTTTAGGAGTTCAGAATCAGCCTGGAAATTCGCCTTGAGCTTTGTGAGGAAGAGTGCCCGGAGCCCCCTGCTGTTATCATGCAAAGAAGAAGCGCTTTCTTGAGAAAACAACAACAACAACAACAACAAAAAAAAGAGAGAAGTAAGCCTGCATAAGCAACAAGCAGAGGATGTAGTTTATTACACCTGGGCACGCTCTTATAAGCGTTTGAGTTCCTGCAGAAACTATCCCGAAATAAGAAGCCACAGGTGATTTCTTAATCATATTCATTCTCCGTCCATGACTCTCAGTATGTGTATGATTAGTATCTGCTGGAGAAAGTTGCTTTACTATTATGGACAGTAAGAGAGCTTAGTTTTTAATATACACATAAAAACATAATAACACAGTGTTGTGGAGGAATTTATCCCTATTGCTCTGTTTTTTTCTGAACTTCTGCAACAAGTGAAATATGAGAGAAAGAAGAAGAGGGATTTCAGAGCCAAAAATCCCACTCCCCCCCCCCTCTTCAATAATAAAGGCTCAAATAAGGCAACTCTTGGTGTATATTTGAATGCTGCTTGTGTGTGAGAAGCAAGGATATAAAGATATAAAGCAAATACAATGGTTCAGGTGAGACTGAATATAAAAGTGGAAATAAAGGAAGGAAGCTGAAGTGAAAAGCCAAAAGGAATTAGATGGAAAAATTACTATTCTGAGAAAACTCAGATCAGTCAGCAAGAGACCAAACGGCACTCCTTTTTGATTTCAAAAAAGCTAGACTTCTGACATATTTTACTCGCACTTAGATATCACAGGATTTTTTTCACCTTTAAACCACTACTGCTGCCACCTACACTTAATTTATTAAGCTGTAAAAATTTAAAGGTGCTCCCATCTTTCTTGGCACTGCAGTGACCTAAAATTAGTTTTGTAATAGAATTTATAAAAACAATAAAATGTGGAATTTATTTTTAATTATTTGTGCAGTTAGTTCAAGTGCATTAAAAAAACAAAACAAAAAAAAAATGCACTCACATCTTTCCACAGAATCTGTTGACTGCTGGATTGACTGCTAGCTTCCATGATGCAAGCACTCAGGAGGAATCTTTCCGAACCTCTTAGCTGGGGAAAATACCAACGCTCTGCAAGGCAAAGAGTCATTCCTTTGCTGCAATTTGGGAGTGTGCTGAAGGGGAGGGAAGTTTCAGATGGAGTGGAATTACTGAAACATTTGTGATACCCATTAAAAGCAAAGCAGATGTCTCTCCTGCCTGCCTGCTCCCATTTCAAAGGTGGAAAGCCACGAATGGATTCAGACTGAAAGACAAACCCTCTGTTGAATAAATTACATACTATGATGAGATAAAAATACTGTAGTGGTGCACAACTTTCAAAAGATTGCTGTTCGTGAGCCACAAAGTTTGCAGGTGAAAAAAAGAAAAAAAAATTATACTGCAGATACTGATTTTTTTCACTCCTGTTTTCTGAAGTATCAAAAGAGTTTAAGTACCTTCTTTCTGCTTTTGTTCCTCAGTCATTCAGGCTTCACACTTGACAACAAACGGGAAACAGGAAAATGAAAGCTGAAATGACTGAATAGCAGCATAACAAAAGAATCAACCTTATAAATGAAGAGAATTTACACAATCAAAACTAAAAAAGAAATGAAGCAAAGACTGTGCTCTATGGGCAATAACTTTTATGATCCCTGATGATATGTTTGGAGACATACAGTATATGAGTTCTCTACATGAAATAACTGAAATGGTTTTCCTATCGAAAAAAAGTACAGTTATCTAATTACAATTTCTTAAAATGACATCTACGCCTTCTCCATCACTGAAAACTCCAGAATCTATAAAAATATGATTCAATTCAGAAATGTAACTGCTGCACATAAGGTGTCTCCTACTTCATTTAATAGTCCATTCTCAGAGAATGTGCACAGCTTGAGATTTTAAAACCCTTAAACATGCAGTTGCCTAATTTGGAATCAGTTGAATCCTCACACACCCTGACAAACCGTACAGCGTTAAAAAGAACAATGTGCTCCCCACCATTTAAAGTCACAAAAAGCTGTGAAAACATTTTGTATCAGGAGTGCATGCAGAACAAATTGGAAAAAAGAAATATATAAATAAAACATTTGAAAAGAAATAGTGAGGTTTTATTGTTAGGCAACCTCTTGTGGCCGTAATTAAAACAGTAACTATGACAGGAGCACAGGAGGAAGTTGGGTGACGAAGTATGCATGTCAACAGAGTCTGCGTTAGGAGGAGGTTGGGGTGGATGGATCACAGGAGACTGCTGTCTGTTTCCTGTGTCAAACTGCTCATTGCTGTTTCTTTTATCCATTACCCTTCCACAACCTCAACTGTGCGTTCACTGATGTAACCATGACGACGTAGATCCTCAAACCTTAAAGAAGTAACCCAAACCATGATCTTTTACTAAACCTCATCAAGAGGTTTTTGTGCTGAACCTAGCCGAACCATGACTGTTCCACATCCTTAACCGCATTTTTATTATTGTAACTATGGCCACAAGGGTCGATGACAAAGCCCGGTACACCTGCCACTGCTGTGCTCCCATGGGTCATATCCCAGGGCTGGCGAAGTTGTTTAGTTTGGAGGACTTGTTGGAAAACAGCCTGAGCACATATAGTGAAGCTCAAATATCCAACAGAAGTCAAAACATGCAAAACTCATTATGGAGTGGAGGTGGACTTTTAAGAGTCACATGAGTCAGTCATCTGAGGAGACCATCACACACTGCTTTGAAACCGTGTGATAATGCAGTTGTGTCTGCAATAAAAGCTTTCACGTGGGAAAGTGAAAACATAACATCCAGTTGATCGCTAAAACCTCAAATGTCCTACTTGACATAGATACTACCATCCCATCAGGTTTTGGTGCTATGGCAGGTTCTGCTCCAGCTAGTGGCTTTCCTGTTCCTTGGTCACCAAAGGGGATAACATACCTGAGAAGAAGAATTGATCCCTCTCTTTAAAAAGCTTAAACCAATCATAATGTACATTCAGGAAGAACCCTACCTATTTCCTGGTTACACAGGGTAAATGTGCTCAAAATGAATATATCACCCACTACAGTTGTTAGGAAACTCAATTCCCAACAGAATTTGGCATGGTAATTATATTAGATATAAATTACAGAGAGGCAAAGAACAAGGGGGGATGAGAAGCCCAAACATGTGGCTATACTATTGGGCAGCACAAATTCAGTATATATGAAGACAGAATCCATATGTTACAAATACATGTATTGATATGGAGAAACTGTGGTCTACTGACACTACAGGACCGCCCCCTTTGTTCATCATAAGAAGGTAAAACTTCCTATGATGAACTTTATTTTTCTGAAAACATAAATGGAATAACATAAAAGTCTGCTTCAAACTTAAGAATCATTTTTCACTTCTGGCTCCCATATGGAGAATCCAGACCCCCTCCCCTCCCTCCCCCATGCCTGGATTTAGTGTTTAGGCTCCAACAGGAAAAGGGTCTGAACCAGCTTATCAAACTCTATGAAGGAGGAACAATGGAGTCATTCGAGGACTTGAAGAGTAAATATTCTTCAAAAAAGTCTCATTTTTTCTGCTATTTACAAATAAGACATTACATACCAAAAAACATCTTGGCCCCAAATGTGTTTTTCATGGAAGACATCCTTAAACAACCCATACCGAAAGACTTCTCATGTTTATGAAACTTTAATTCTTTTTACTGATCACATCTGAAAGCAGAGGCAGATAGAAAGTCAGATGGAAGAAAATATTTGAGCATCAGTTATAGAAAACACACTATTCTGAGCAGTAATACTGATAGAGAAACACAATTTAAATATTACACAGGCTTCATTGCATACCATCATTGAGAGGCAGGCTTTGTCTAAGCTCTCCTAAATGTATTAAATGCAGTTCAGAAATTGACACGCACATATGCTTTGGAAATGTGCAAAGATACAAGATCTTGGAGAGAGGTGAAAGATGAGACGGGTACCTTGATTGGATATGACTGGCTATCACCTCTCCAGTGTGTTTTTGGCAGCTAAAGTGGACAGTGCAAGGAGCAACCACAAAGCTAAATTGATTGAAATATTCTATTATATAGGGAGACAGACCATTCTCAAATTCTGGATTGCTGATTAGGAGAGAAGCAAACAGACAAAGGGCTGAAACTCACCGCCACAAGGCAGAATGCAAATAACCTACGACACGGTCCGGTGGTATACTAGGTTTTGACCTAGTCTTGTTTTGAATGCAATTAGTACTGAACCAGTTTTAGGGGCCCACAAGGGAGGGGTTAAATAACAAATGAGGTAACTGAAGCTCTTCAGATATTGGCAGCCTCAGAACTTTATTCAGTTCTTGGCAGGCTTAATAATGTCATCCGATGGTTCCCAGTTATTTCTCCCATACATATAGTACACGGTGCCATTAATAGTTTTTGAAAATGTCACTGTGACTCGGGGAAGGTGTGATCACACCTGCAGTTCCCTTTTCCCTTTGGTCAGAGCTGTGTTGCAAAAGTTTTTTCATTTTTTGCTTGGTTTGTGTAGGTTGATCTAATCAGTTTTCAGTGACTCATGGCTTGTAAACAGTTTTTATTTTTTAGTAACTTGTCAGTCTGCAAGTCAAGGTTTGTTTCCAGCCTCTGTAGAATAAGACAGTATTATAGACCACACTGAGCTCTGTGCCATGATTCATCAGAACTGGAAGTAAGTGAAGTCAGACAGCCAGAAGATTGGGAGAGAAAGATTGTGATGATGACATATTACGATGAAGGTCGTGGGCAGGAGTGAAGGATGTAGTGCGGGGATGACACATCATAATGGCCTGCTGTTTAAATCTTTAAATTACCTTCTCAGGTGTTAATACTACCAACAGGCACATAATGAAAGAGCTAAAAATGCAGCAGCCAGGGTTTATTTTCCCAACCCTACTCTGAGAAAAACAAGGTCAATACTGGACAATTCTGCAAAACCCTGGATTGTAGTCCATTTAGTTTTAAATTCTCACTCTTTGCAGTCCAGGCAAGGCATAGTACAAGTAACTTAAAACAGGTCAGGGATGTAAATTTTGGTCTCCCACGTTACACACCCACCCACTATCCTGACTTCTACAGCCTTAAGTCGTCTTGTCGGAATCCCCTAACCTTTCCGACATCAGGGGAATTCTGTGTCTAAACGTTTCTGTAACTTTCCGAAGTGATCTGACATGCAGACACACTTCACGCTGTGATTGTCTTTAACTGTGTGGAGGTGAGAGAGGAGCCAAGAGTTGAGCTTCTGTCTTTAGCTCTCTTTTTTTTCATTTGTTACTCAGCTATTTGCGGCAATAACCGAGTAGTTTCCCCTTTCTCTTTGACAGCTGGCTTTTTCCACCTCCCAGTGTTGCCATTCAGATCAGGTTGCCTATATACACTTTTGATCTTGTGGTCAGACAACAGTTCTCCCCATAAACGCATTAATTAGACCACAAAGTAACCTTTACGTTCTGCCTGAGTACATATAGGGCACACCACTTCCTCCACTGGTACTGGACGTAAACCATTAGTTGCAATTCTTAGGATACTGGTATGAGTTCTCCATGGTTTCTTTCCTTAATGCTGAACTTTTCATATAGTTACTTCTGGTACATCTATCAATCCTTGAGAAACGTTTTAGTTTTGTGTTATTTTCCCATTATAGTCTCATTCTTGGGAGTACAACATGCAACTTTAGATTGTCTATTAGGTGTAGGTGTATAGGTATAATTATTTGGTGCCACTGAAGTTCAAATGCGTCACCCTCCCACATGGATCAAACCAAAGGAACAAACATTTCTAAGTTCAAAGAAAACCCATGCCTGTTGTGAGTGAACACTCAATAAAACAGGAAAAGTCTCTCAGCTAGTGACTTAAGAGACCAATAAATATGAATACTAGGTTTCACTGATGAATAACCTTTGAAATTTACTGTAATAATTTACAATAAGGTACACAAAACAGAGTATAGTTTCTGAGGAACAAGTAAAGAAAAATCTAATCAAAGTTCAGATAACTCTGAAATGAGGACTAGTCAATAATTACAAGTTACAGTTACGAATTGAC